CTATCCCCATGATCATGATAGAGGAGCAATCCGATCAATTAGAGATACTGAAACTCTTGAAGCATCCTATGAGCGTTACCTCCATAGTGCGGTATTTTTTTCTTTCTGTTCTTAAATAGCTGAAATCATTTGTCATATTCTTTTATGTCTCTTATTAGCATGTTGAATTTATAGCATATAAATTCCATTTACTCTATGTTCTGTTTGTTCTGTATGTAGATAGGATAAGGATTTGATCTACAGCAACAACAATCAACCCTTAATCTCACTTTATCTAGTTGATTTTTAATCCTTAAACTATTGTCTAAGTTTTTTTCTAAATAATTTGTGTTCTAGCTTCTGAATTCTCATATGGAGATTTGGATGGGTTAGGCCAAAAATTAAAAAGCCCTTTTTCTTAGAGAAACTTAGACGAATAGTATCTATCCCTATCCTGTCCTTTAATTATTTAATAACACAAGATTGCAAGCTTTACTTTGTTTTGAAATCTATTAAGTACTATGCATGTGATGGGGTAACTTCTTCTACTAGATTGGATATCTTGTTCAATCTTATTTTATCACGAGACAAAAATTTGGTGTGTCAAATTGACCTTCATTGGTTAATGTTAACATATTTTCCTTGTTTCAGCAAGTTTCATCTTATGGTGCTGGACAGTCTACTAGAACCATTGATGGGAGAACTTCCAGTCATTCTGTTGATGATTCACATGTCACAGGTATTGGCGGGGGAGTAGATCCTGGAAAAGACAAGATCCTGGGATTAGGTAGTGGAAGGGCTGACCATTCTCTTCCACATGATGCTACCAATACACTGTTCGTGGAGGGTTTACCTCCCAGCTGTACAAGACGGGAAGTATCTCGTATCCTTTCATCCGGTTCCTTTACTTTTAAATGCTTTTCATTTTAGAAACCTCCTCCTTAACTTGGACGTTCAGATATCTTTCGTCCTTTTGTTGGCTACAAAGAAGTCAGACTTGTTAGCAAGGGATCAAGACAAGTAAGTTTAAATACAAAGTAGACAATTAATATTTTTGCATTGGTAGATTTCTTACTGAGATCATGTGCAGCCTGGGGGTGATCCACTGGTACTTTGTTTTGTCGATTTTTTGAGTCCAGCACATGCAGCAACTGCCATGGATGCATTGCAGGGTAAGATCTGTTTTATTTGTATTCTTGGAATGACAACATACATATCTTGGACAATCCAACACGCACAAACTTTTTATTCCCTTCAACGTGCTAGTACAAAGAAATATCTTTCAGTAGAACATTCATCTGTAATCTCACCAACAAAGTGCCGAAGAACAATCTGTATATGCAATGTCCATATAGTTTGTTTTCTTCTTGTGCCTGTGTCTAAGTAGTGTTGGACTTCTAAATAATATGCAAAATACGTTTTTGGTGATAAATAAAACTGAGTGTCTCACGGGGCAGGGCTGGGTCTAGGTTGTGACTACTACTTGAGACATGCTCAGTGGAAATGAATGAAGAAATCTTCGTGAGGACAATAAGTACGACATCTGGATAAGAGTGGGATGTATTACTTGGCAGAGCTAAGGGTAAATTGAAAACTTCATTAATGATTAATATTGGCTGACCTAGAGCAATATATTTTCTCGTCCATCTTTTTTCTTTCTATTTTAGTGGAAAGTGAATCCCAGGTTTGGAAGGTTGGCAATTTTGTTTATGTAAAATTACCATAAAAAATTATCCACTCTTCACCATCTTTGTCATGCTGAATGATAAGGCTGGTATTCATATTTTATCATTTTTCTAGTTGAAAGATTTTGGGGGTCAATTATGAACACCATTGATTATGACATTTCCAAATTATGGATGCTGTCTCCGTCCTGGATTTGAGTGATTCAGCCTGGTTGTGTGGATTGCTTAAAAGCTCTTTCATACATTAAATATTTATGGTTATGGGCCTGTTTGACCAAATATGCTCTTTCAGTTTAGGATGCTGTCTGATTTATTTGGCCTTTGAGCTATTGATTGGTCTAAGGATTATTTCCTAAAAAACATCCTTTCATGCCACAGTGCTTTATTTTTCCTTTGTGCCTGCTGCATCGATACGTAAACTAGGGTAGGATAAATTATTCTAATATTAGACGTTTCACTGAATGCCCAAAAACTGAAGACAGACTTACTAATGGTTACTCACCCTTCATCCTCTTCCTTCTCTCAAATCACACGTTTGAGTCCTCTGGTAATTAGTGAGGGACCGACATTGTCACCTATGTTGGATATTGGGTTTGAATGATTGAGATGTATTTTAGGTTTATTTTGTCTCAAGGCGAGGTAAGAAATAATCGCGTCTTATATCACCTGCCTGCTGGCACCCGAATTCGCCGTTCAGAATGTAGCTAGTTGTTCAGCGTAAAACAATGAACCTTAATTTTGCAGGTTATAAATTTGATGAGCTTGACCGCAACTCTGCAAATTTAAGGTTCCAATTTGCTCGCTCTCCTGGTTCAAAGTCAGGTGCCGTTTATCGTGGCAAGTATTGAATTGTGCAATTTACAGGTGATTAATGCTTTTATTTCGATCCGTTTACGTGCTGTTATTAATGGTCATTCGGTTCTGACTAAAAGCTTCAGTATGAAGTTTATGGATGGCTAGTAGTGCTGAATCGTGAAACAACAATTCTGTGTAGGATTCGCTCATATGGGGAGGTTATGATTTTGAGAGGCAAGAGACCAGCCTTGCAGTTGAGAATTACAGTTGCATTTGTTAGGAACATGTTGAAAATTGTGGTATTCGGACGTGGGAAGTGTTGGCTAGAGATTCTGAGTGTGCATTTGTTTGAGAAATTGTCTAATTTAATTAGTATAAACTGCTTCAATTTGTCTCATTTGGTACAACTTATGTTTTCAAAGGTGATTTACTGCTCAAGCCTATATATGGGGGACTAAAATGCATGTTTTTTCATGCTTGTTGCTAGTGAACCTTTTAGATATCAATATTGTTTGACTATTGTTAATTTAATTAGTTGACCATTATTTATTGCTTATTAGTATAATGAAGACAATTATTCTAAAGATACTCTTATAAATGACTTCGAATATTTTTTCTTTGGGCATATGAAAAGGAATATATTGATTGGGGTATAATGTGAAAGACCAATGAACCCCAGTTATTATTTAGAGTCTTAACATAAGTCTTCTTTCTAATTTTGAGAGTCAGGAATTTTGATTTTACCTGGATGATAGGTTATATCTGGATAAGTTTTGGTGCACACATTCTTGTTTTATCCCAAATCCAATTTATCTGCATACCTCCCTCTCTTAGTTTTTCCATTGGGCATGGCTCATGGGAAATCTTAGTTTTGAATCATATTTTACTGCTTACATGAGTTAGTGATTTACTTTATCCTTTGTACTTGTAATATTAAAATTTTGTGTAATTGCTTTCTTATTTTCCACCTTATTTGCTATGTTTTTATCAGCCATTCTTGAGAACATGTTACTCAGAATATTGGATATGACTTTTGATTCCTAGACTTGTGTGTTCTTAGTGTTGAGCGTGTAAATAGTGTTATTTGTTGGTTGCCTTTAGTGGGGCATGAAGTATTAGAGAAGTCAATGAAGGTTATTCCCAATACTTTATTACAATCCTAGTTTTTTGTGAAAGCTACTACTTCCTTGAAGTAGCTTTTCAAAAGAAAGCTTTAAAGGTTACGACCTCTCTGTAGTTTTTATTCAGCGAACAATTCTACATGCATAATGATTGAGTCAAGAAGTTATAAAAACCAAATAAGCTATAAGCTAATGTTACCAAAAAGAATCTAAACGCTTTCAGTTTTGGGTAGTAGCTGATTTGTTTATTTACAACATTGGCTCAAAAGTAATGGTGATTGTAAAGATGTCAAAGTACTCAACTTTGGATTTGTCTGAAGATGCACTTGATGATGATCATTGATCGACAATCAACACCGTTCTTATCGTTGTCTGCTTCACGCCTTCACCAACTTCAACCACATTGCTGAGTAGTACTATAACCTCACTGTTCCTTGACCCTTGACACAACCTTTTTGCTTTCGCCGACCACCCTTCTTCCTCATCGGCAACGTCTAGTCTAACATCTCCAACCTTCTCAAGATTGTCTTGTTATTTTAGATCATGTTACGAGACAGAGTACTCTGTGTTATCTCACTGAGAGGATGTGCTGAGAGGATGTGCTGCAAGACAATACAAGATTGATCAAGTTTCACAAAATTGACGTGTATTTGTTGGATTAGACTGCGAGCGGGGAGTCTCCAACCACCGGTGAGTTCCATTGTTACGGGGTATGGGAATAGTGGAGAGCCACAAGTGAGACACCACGTCTTGAACCAAAACCTTAAGGCATATTAGTTTCATGAGCCTTTTCTACTTATAAACTCTTTTATTCATCCCCGCATATCTAATGTGAGATTTCACACTTGAATAAACTCAACAATCTCCCCCTCAAGTGTGGGTACCACACACTTTCTGATTCGCTCCCCCTTAAGTCCACAATGTCCCAGCCGAACCATCGGCTCTGATATCACTTGTTGGAAGATTTTTATCCATGAGTTATATCATTAGTTTCATGGGTCTTTTCTATTTATAAACTCTTTTACTCCTCCCTGCAGTATTGTCTGAAGAAAATAGGAGGAAGGATACGAAAATTGTTTACTACAATTCGATCATTACCGAAAGTGTTTATTTAATTCCATGAATAATATTCTCAAGCATCCAACTAATACAGTATCACTCGGCAGCTTTGAAAAATGACAATTACTCATAGATCAAGAAGATTGGGGAATACACTGCAAGAAAAATGAGGTTGAAATACTACAAGATCGGGGAATATAAAGCACAAGGAAAAAAAGGCACATAACCCTTAATTACAAGAATTGGTGAAAAAGGAGCTAAGAGATTCATAGATAACTTCTCTTGCGGGTATATAATAATTGAAAGATGCACAAACAAAGGGTATCTGGATCATGAAATGAAGACATTACATTAGAGATGCAATGAAGCAAACAAGAATGATATTGATTCGGCTCATCTGAAGTTGATATATTAATGTAAGATGAACCAAATCAATACCACATCATGTGTACTTTGCAGAAAGCTAGCCATTTTTACAATTCAGTTTGTGTGTTGAGGAAAAAAATGAACATCTCATCCCTATAAATAGGACAACCAGCCCTATGCTGTCTTGGTATATATATTGATATTTTCTACCATGTCTAAGCATCTAAAACATTTATGAAGATTAAAGATTCATAAATTTCACTATCAATATTCTTAGAGGAGAGATCCATTTATTCTAAGAGTAAGTTTTTTAAACTTAGTCTACGTCTTAGTCATTAATTATAAGGAAATCCAATGATTTAGATTTACCAACTAATTCAAACTATTAGATTTCCTTCGAATTGATGACTACGATATTAATTAAGTTTTAAATTTACTCTTGAAGTAAGTGAGTTCACTCTCATTATTTGTCAATCCTCATCACCATTATGGAGGAGAGGACTAATTCCTTAGTAAATAGCACGTGTAACTGCTATGAAAGTCATGTGACAGTTACACACCAAAATCCTTTACAAATTTATATAATTTTTTTGGTACATAAATTTATGTCTCGTTGCCATTATATTTTGGGAATTTAAAGGTAGAAAATTTATTAAAACAAAAATAAAATTTGAAAGAAATCGAGTTAAAGTTAAATTTTCTTGGTATAATATAAAAATGACTGTGTTTTAGTGTGTAATATAGTTCACGTAAAATAACAATTTTTCATATATATAGTACGGTCTAATAATTTTTTTTAATGTAAAATTGAAGATTGTTTTTGGCTATTCCATTACCCTAAAAGTTATAAAAGAGTGAAAAGATGAAATCAATTCTTTATTTCAGCACTCTTTCAAGGAAGTAGTTAGATGTTGCCTTATTTTTTAAACTTTCGATTGTGATTTATTATTTTTATATATAAATTAGTATTTGATTAATACATCTAGCTAATACTACCTAGAAAAATTTAGTTAATTATAGTGACAAATTATATTAAATAATAGTATCAAAGGACTCTAGATTCCCATAAATATAGATAGATATATAATAACTAAGTTTTAATCAGGCACGCCAAATTCCTTCATCGAGAAGCATACATATTATTATCATGGAATTTCTTTAGTAACCACTCCTCCTCTTCTTCCCAACTTGTTCAATTATATTACATTTGTGTATATTAGGCAGTGATGTTTTGCCTTAGGGGTAAATTTAACTTCTTAATTTCACAGTTGCTTCTAACCTTTTTATAAAACTTTTATGCATCATTTGGTTGGAGGAAGAAAATAAGAAGAGAGAAATATGTGTGAGAGAGAATGAAAAGAGAGAAATAAAGTATATTTTAGTGTTGTTTGGTTGTATAGAAAAAATAATAAAAATAAATAAGTGTTTATTCTTCACTCTTCCCTGAACTATGATTTGTCGTCCAATGTTTAAAATTATGTCCCGAATCAATGAAAACATTCATGTCAATTACAAAAATTATAATATTCATTACTTTTTATTTTTTTATTTCAATATCATTGTTTTGGGACATGATTTGGGACACAGTTTGAGATAACAGATTTTACTATCTTTTCTCATCTCATTTTTTACTCAATTGGGAGGAGAAACATATTTCATCACACTTTTTCTTCTTTCTTCTCAATCTTCCTCCTTAGCCAAGGGGATAAATTCATACTTTCTCTCTAAATTCTCTCTACTCCTTCTCTTTCTCCTCAACCAAAGCAGGTTTTTTGTTTTGGCTGCATAAAAATGTGCATACAATACATAATTTTGTTACCAAAATTAACTTTGTTTACTAAAACAATTTTAATGGAGAGAGAATGATTTAGTTTCAATTACAAATTTTATAAATTATATTTAAGACAAATTTATTAATGTTTTTGCATTAAAATATCTAAAAAAAATTATAGATGAAAGTAACACATAGAGTATTACATTATATATGCCATGAGTGATGTATATTATGGTGCAAAATCTAATTATATATATATATATATATAGAAGGGATCCATTGATTCTAATAGTAAATTTTTTAAACTTACTCCACATTTTAGCCATCAATTCTAGGGAAATCCAATGGTTTGAATTAATGAGTAGATCTAAACCATTGGATTTCCCTATAATTGATGTCTAAGATATGAAGCAAGTTTAAAAAACTTACTCTTGAAGTAAGTGGATCCCCACCTATATATATATATATATGATTTGGTCTAAATGTGAGCATGATAAGGTATGGTCATGTAAACATGATTTCCTTATTTACCAACAGTAGATCAGTGACAGTTGAACAATTAACGCTTAATTATTTTAGTGTGTAATATTTATGTATTCTCAATATAAATATTTATTATTCATTTGTATTATTTTTTAAATGTTCACTGAATGTATATACAAAAAATTAAGAGTTTAATATTTATGTGTTATCTGTATAAAGATTTATATACAACAGTATATTAAACATGAATGATGAATAATATAATAAAAGTACGTATAAAAACGCTGACGTGAATACATCTTTTCCGCAAAAATTAAATATATTAAAAACTTAATTTAAATTGGCACAAACTCGCATAATTAACTCTGACTTTAAGTAAGCACGGTAAACTAAATTTGTCTATTGAAGCAAACATAACATTTGTCTTTAATTAGTTGGATTTAGCTCAATGCAAGTTAACATAGATTCCTTCGAGACATACTTAGTTTATTTATCAACAAATATTTTAGTCCAATGCAAGCATCTTAATCGGCCAAAATTATGCACACAAGGTTCTTTTGGCAACTTCCAAATATGGAAGAGGCATATGCTATGGAAATGAGAATGTGAAGTGTATTATATGAATAGCTAGGGCCTTTAGGATTGGTTAATATTTATTACTGTACTAATTATTTATTTAAACGTTAGTAGGATTAGAAAAGCTCAACATGTGTAGAACTCATAATTCAAGATGGTCCTTTTCTAATGAAATATATAAATATAATATGGGTCTAATATTTATAGATAGTTAATGTGAAGATTTGTTATTAGTAGTATATATAGGAGTGATTTGGTATATGTTAGGGTTGTAAAGGAGATTTTGTAAAAAAAATGTACATCATATTTCAATATTCAGAATGATTTATTCACAATTTTAATGTGTTAGAGCGCTCTGGTGTATAAGCTTATACCATACAAGTCACATCACACTATTAAGGTCTTGAATAATCCTATCATACTAAGGAAAAAACTTAGGTACAATTCCTTATGTACAAATGGTGTTTGTAGCCTATTAAAATGTAACACATGTTCATTATCCCTTATACTTTGAAGAGAGATTCTTAATTGCAAAAAAAGAGAAAGACTTAATGATATAAATGAACACGTATCACCTTTTAATAGGCTACAAACACTATTTGTACTTAAAGAATTGTACCTAAGTTTTGTTCCTATACTAACTCGTCCTAACAAAAGATATGCTTTTGGCCCCCAATTATATTTTTCATTTTGTAGTCCAAATTTTTTTCAAACCCAAAATATAGTACTGAAAAAAAAAATTGTACTGAAAATTTAAGTACGAAAGCCACAACTTTATAGTTTAGTCCATGATGAAATAAAAAATGAGAGAAAAAGATTCACTTATTCAAAAGGAGCGTCTAAGTTAGAAGTACAACCACTTTTTGAAGTAGATTCCAATTATAATTGCATGTATAGTTTGCATTTTGTTTTTCAGTCAAAATTTCAATTCAATGTCTGCATTCTTTCATTTTGTTATTGTAATCTTAATTTTTTAAAATATATATTCTGATACAATTTTATTGGAATGTCTAATTTTATTTTGACAACTATATGTCAACAATGATTTTATTCCAGAATTTTCACTTCTCACAAACTAGTGTTCAATATTGATCAATTGGAAGTAAAACATTACAGAGTAAAACAAAAATGTTTTAGATTTTGAGGATTAAGATACTAGTAATGTTGGGGTTGGCCTTCAAATCGAGGTTGAGGGTAGGGGATATAATTTTATCCATAGAGTAAAGAATTAATCTCTTTTTAGTCTATCCGTGATCTAACAATGTCTTATATCACTAAACTAAAGTCTTATTTATGGGTATATGTGAATTTGAGAGAAAATAATCTTAACTTAAGAGAATAGAAAAAGATTTTGAAAGATTTAAGAGTATTTTGAGATTTTTAAAATTGATCCCTTCTAGCATATCTGATGATCTAATGATAACTTACATCACTAGACTATAATATTATTTATGTGTATGTGCAGATGTGTAAACAGGTCAGGTCAGACCAAACTTTGTCTTAAACAGACCGAATCTATATAGTATATAGGAGCCTGAGCCTGACTTGTTAGTCTATTTAAAAAAAAAATTCAAAGCCTAGTTCTGACCTGTTTAAAAGTCTGGTCTGCTATGTTAGCCTGTTTAAAGGTCTGATAAGGTAAAAAATTTAAAAAATTATGTAAAAACTAGAAAAAATTATTATAATTATAGTAATTAGTGTGAATTTTTTTATATTGTTATCACAATTATATTCATCACCTTCCAATGTTGCGTAATGTATTCGAATGATTTGTGGTGTTTTTGAGGTTATAATATACAAAACAATATATTTTAATATAATAGTAAAATATGATATTGTTCTAATATTTAACATGAGTTGAGTTATGTACTTAAGCCAAAGTCTCAACAATTAAATAGTCTAATCTCTTAGTCCTACTGAATTATTTACATATTTTTTTATTTAGTTTTTTTATATATGTTATAGAAATAATTTATAAATATATAATAACATTACATAGGCCGACATGTTAGACTTAATATGATTTTTAAAAGGTCCGGGTCTGACCTATTTCGGTTAAATAGGTTTTTGGAGAAGCCTATACCTGACCAGTTTACTAAAAAGGTCTAACCTATTATAGGCTAGGTAATAGACCCCTGGTAGGCGGTTACATATTTCCACCGAGGTATGTGTGAGTTCGAGAGAAAATGATTTTAACTTAAGAGAATAGAAAAAAGTGAGAAAGATCTAAGAAAAGTGTGGCAAAAAACACATATCCTG